AAAAAATGACAATTTGAAACACCAATAGTGAATATATGATAAAAGTCGAACTCTTCCAAACTGACTGTGCTGAGATTGCTGTTTCTTGAGGACTCGATCCTACCTCAATGTTTGGATTTTGTCTGAACTTAGAGTTGCAATGTCCTTACAATTATTCCTTGTTGTTGTTTTTTTTCCATTTTCTCAAAACAATATTTTGGGTTCACATACCGGTTGTTACAATCCACAAAATCACTGTTGTTCAAGATATCCGTCCGAAATTTTGAACATTTTCCCAAGATAGTGGTTCATGTCCTAGACTTTGAAAAAAACACGGCTCGATCTTGAAAACTGTAGTTTAAATTTGATTCTTGCATACATAATTAGGCTGCTCAATTATTTTTTCATCCGTTGCTCATTCATCATCTATATAAACTCACAAGTTTGTCCCAATAACTACTTTAGAAGGTTTGGGACATGCATTGAGTATTTAATAACATTTCCTGCAAGTTTCATGCAAAACTTGTAAAAAGTGTATGAGATACAGTCTTCCAAGTAACCTGTCTATATTTTAACCTTCGCCGGTCATATTGGACGCTTAATTTGCATATTTAGGGTTTTTTTCGACATTCAAACATTTTTCTTCACCTATAGGGTACATACATGTGGTTATTGTAAGGCATGGTAGGCAAACAACAGAAAAAGCAGGTTCTAGCATCCTGATGCCTTAACCAATGATGGTGTGAAAGCATTGCACTTTCTACTCTAGCAGCATGTCAATTTAAAGGTAAATAAATGCTGCACAATCTGACACATTAATTAACTAGCTGGGGCCCCTTTCGATGAAAGGAATGATCGGTGCATTAATATCAACTGAAAGTCATTGGCCTACTATATTTACACTCTACTGGAATGGTGCAATAAATCTTGAGATCTTGAGAAGCAAAAATTAGGTCTAGATCTATACTCTCAAAACAAAATGCGCCTCACGAAATATCACTTCCGGCACTTCCGCTTTGAAGGACAGCTACGCAGATTTGTTTCGTTTCTCAGTGGAATAATCACGAAGGCCAAAGAAGAACGGGACCTTTTTGTCAAATATATTTTTGTAAAATTCAGGAAATGAATAAATCAAAAATCGGGCTCCGTCATGGGGGCCTACCTACCTTTTTGCAGGTACTTGCCAACTTTCAACTCTGTAGCTGTCGTAGTTTTATGAGAAAAGTGACACATGTGTTTCCAAGTTGCCAAATATATAACAGATGTATAGATTGATTCTCTCTTCCGCTTTCGTAGTTGTACACTTCAGAATTTCAAAGGCGTGGAAACAGCGCGCACGGCTAGTGAACAGAAACCTCACTTGTTTATAACGGCGTTTTCCCAAGATTAGATCTAAACGAAACTAATGAAAAACTGAAATTTAAACTACAGTGACTTCATGCTCCTCAATAAAACTGTGCATCCTTTAAATGATTCTGAACCACCATTAATTACGTAGTTCTGGAGTTTTCGGGGGCCAAAGTGACGAACTTTCACAAATGTAATATATTATAGAGATAGATATAGAGAATAAAGGTGTACAATAAAGGTCGCCAGAGATACGTTCACTCAAAATTAATCTTTAAAAATCACGCTTGGCAAAATTCTGTGGAATAACAAAAAAATTTTAAGTGTATTTGAGTGTGTATCAAAAAGATTATAATAGTATTTATATCCTCTTTGGTGAGTATTGAGATGCATCAACAGTGGTGAAATGGATATGTATGGCATATCAAATGAATGGGGAATGTTTTTTGTAGGCAGTGCACCATATCATATTTCGGTAATTTGAAACAGACTGGAGAACAGAGCAGTCAAAAATACCGCGCATAACTTGGACTTAGCATTCATTTGCTCCATAGTATTGTGTTTAGAAGACGGTGGTTTTGTGTAGAGCACGAACCCTATTCTAAATTTTGGACATAATCATCTGTCATTTCATCTCAACATGTCACAGAGCGTTGCAAACAAAGCGTCTGAACTGGGAACAAAGTCGCATTTCTTCAGCTGCTGTTTCATGGGGTCCACATTATCTGTAGGATTCATATTGGGGTTATTTACCGATGACCAGTCTGTGGTGATATATATATATATATATATATATATATATATATATATATATATATATAAAATATATTATATATATTATATATTATATATTATATATGTACATTTATGTATATATATACATGTATATTATATATAGAGAGATATATATATATAGATATAATATATTATATATCTTCTTCAAGGCAATATCGCAAAAGCCTCGTTTCTTTGTCCCTCGACAACATGACATCAAGCATTGTTTATTGCATGGTGTTTCCCCCTTCAATAGGTCGGAGATGTTTTGAGAGTGAAGGCCAACAGTACAACCCCTGTCAGCGAGCTTTTCTATCAGGTAAGTTTGAATGGCGTTCTACCTTAAGACCTTCTTTGTTAGACCCCTTTCCATGATACTAGATCTGTACAGCGCTATTATAGTCTTAAGCCCGCCACCCACTACGCAGTTATCATTGGTGCACCCGTCTAGAGATGGTCTCAAGACTAACTGAACGCGATCTCAAGATGATCTCAAGATGATTTGAAGACGATCTTGAGACAAAAATCCGGACCGCCAAGTTAAAAATCGCAACAAACCGTGAGATCGCTTGAATTCAGGACGAGCCTGAAAATTGTCTGTCGGGTCACACATCGGGGTACCCGACCCTAAAAATAAACGGATGCCAAAATCAAAATTCCAGAATCTTCATCAGCGTCAAATTCTAATGGTATTTGATACAAAACACCGCTATCAAACGTTTGATGTATTTATGTTAATAAATTATTCTTTGCGTGAGCCAGCTAGCTTGAGAGATCTAAACTGAATTCATACAGAGATACAAACAGTATGAGTGTTTGTGGAAAATAAAATCTAAAGACTACTGTAATCGAATTCTAAGAGACCGTGCATACCACAATTTAGTTGAATACGTACAAAGTTCTGACAAGAATGTTTGTCACAATGGCATAAGTTTAAAAATTTATAACTTAAGATTCGCGTTCAGAAAGGAGTATAATAAAGTTGAACGCGGGAAAGTTTCTTTTGCTAAAATTCAAAACATTAAGGCCGGTCCCAGAGTGCCTCTGTAGGTCTGACATGTAGCTTGCCAAGCGCACGCCGTCTGCGTGTCAGCACAGCCGCACTCTGCGTTGGCTTCTGTGTCTGAGTGAGCGCCCTCTGCGTGTCAGCACAGCCGCACTAGGCTAGAAACTAGAAGCACTCAAGCCTACGAATGTAAGCAAACAGTCCAAACTAGGTCAATCTCTCGATTCGAAATTTTAATATAGGATAAAGTGCATTTCTTGGGATTGTGAGGTCAAGTATTGATGCTAGCATCTATATCTAAAAGTAAAACACCTAATAATACTAACTGCTTGATTATTTTGATGATATGTGAAGAATTTCAGTCGAAAATAAACACGAAGCGAGGTTGCGTTCGACACTTGTCCGACGTGTACACTGTTGAATAGCACGTCTGTCGCGTCGGGCAGATCAGCGGACAACAGACAGAACGTACAGCGACGCTGCTCAAGCGCATGATAAATATTATGTTCATTTGTATGGTGCGAGCTATGCAAGCTACAGGTCAGACCTACAGAGCCACTCTGGGGCCGGCCTTACACACCAAGGCTAAGGTATTATGAAGAGCTTTTGTTCCTCAAAGACCAGGATATGAGTCTTCGTCCATACTTAAATAGTTTTTATAATCCACAGAGTACAATGGCGGTTCTTTTAAAAGGTGCGTGTGAGTGAATTCCTCCCGCCGAAGAAGCCTTTTTTTCACAACAGTGATTTTTTGGCCTTTTTGTCTTTAGAGAAATACTTAAAACCATACATACAGGCTGCAGCAACTTTACTTTGGGTAGGAGCCATTTTGATAATGTGCTGGCCTGTGTAGTGTGTTGGCACAAATAAGATCGCTGACGGAACCGATCGTGAGACCATCTTGAGACCATCTTGAGACTGCCTTGAGATCGTCTCGAGACCATCTCGAAATCATCTTGACTCTGTCTTGAGATCTGGAACTGCGTAGTGCGTAGGGGGGGGGGGGGGGGCTTTACTCTCAGTTGCAATTTGACGAAACGTCAGCCGATTTAATAAGTCAAAGTTTAAACATGTTATGTTTATATTTTTGGTCTGCAAATCTATCAAGACTCTCCCAACCTACTCTACCTTTTAAACGACGACGATGATGATGATGATGATGATGATGATGATGATGATGATGATGATGATGATGATGATGATGATGATGATGATGATGATGAATGCGCGTATCGGAAAGTGAAAATATAAGGAAGATGAGGAGGAAGCGGAGAGGGAAGAGGAGGACAAAAAGAAGAGCAAGAACACGAATGACATGATGAAGACGGAGACGACATAGAAAAAGTACAGAATAAGGACAGCAACAACGATATTTATAAACACTTTGTATAACAATGAAAGCCGACAAAATAACAACTACAACCTTCAACCTCAACAACAGTAACGAGAAAGTAGAGAAAAGGTTTTTTTCGGTAATTACTGATAGGGGGGGGGGGGGGGGTAGCAAAATACAATCTATCTTACTGACAAAGACGTTCGTGGCAGTTATGCTGTGTTTAGTATGCAAAAAAAAACATTATTTAGTTCCCCGTGGTGGAAACAGGCGCCCGATAATTTTTGGGCACATATGGGGTTATTGGAATCGTCTTAAAGCTTGTTAATTCATCTTGCTTTGACAAAGAATAATGACTATCTGTCTTGAATAGAGGTCGAGATATTTGCAATCGAAGGAGGTGAAGGTCGTTTTCTGTCAGAGATAAAAATTAGCAAGAAAATTTCCTCCAGAGTTTATTAATTCTAACGTTTGAGCATTCTTTGAGCTTGCAAATTTACATGTGTATCCTTTTGATCAATGCTTTCCAGTAAAATCCACACACAAAATGTGTTTTGAAATGGACGTAGAATTGTGTTCTTCCATTTTTTTTTTAAAGATGATTTTCTTTTTAATTGTCAAACGGGCGGGGAAATGACGGGTTTCCTTGATTTCATTATTTTGACGAGCGCTTGATTCATTTATACTGACACATTTGTATTGTTTCCATTCTTTAGGTGTACACCAAAGGCAAAATGGTTATAGCAAATTCCTTGAAGCCAGATAGTCCTCGGAAAGACCTCGAGTTCTCCGTCACTTTGGAACAGCGCATGGCACCAAGCGTCCGCATCGTGGTCTTTTATCTGCGAGAGGACAACTCTGAGTTTGTTGTCGATGCCTTGAGCCTCAACGTAGATGGAATCTTTCAGAAACCAGTAAGTTACGCCATCATGTTCTCCTTTGTTTGTAATTGATTTTCCTTGGTGTTGTTATTTTATGTTTTGTAATAATTCTTCGCTTTTTTCAAAGTTTTCTTTCCTTTTTTTTATCTGTTGGGGATTCGGGGGTGGTGGTGGGGGGGTGGGGGCTGGTTTTATTTCGTTCTTTTCTTTATGTTCGTTTCGTTTTGGGCTTGGGTTGACTTTTTTTGTTTGCCTTTGCTTTCTTTCTCTATTAATTTAATCGTGGTAACTGCCCCCTATTCCTTACATCTACCCACCCACCAACACACACACACACACACTCACACACACACACACACATTAATTTAATCGTGGTAACTTCCCCCTATTCCTTACATCTACCCACCCACCAACACACACACACACACACTCACACACACACACACACATTAATTTAATCGTGGTAACTTCCCCCTATTCCTTACATCTACCCACCCACCAACACACACACACACACTCACACACACACACACACACACACACACACATTAATTTAATCGTGGTAACTGCCCCCTATTCCTTACATCTACCCACCCACCAACACACACACACACAC